TGTTTTCGAGCGTCCTCGAAATCTATCGAGAGTTCTCGATCGTTTTCGAGCGTCCTCGAAATCTATCGGGCGTCCTCGAAATCTATCGAGCGTCCTCGAAATCTATCGGGCGTCCTCGAAATCTATCGAGCGTCCTCGAAATCAATCGAGCGTCCTCGATTGTTTTCGAGCGTCCTCGATATCTATCGAGCGTCCCCGAAATCAATCGAGCGTCCTCGAAGTCTATCGAGAGTTCTCGAAATCTATCGGGCGTCCTCGATTGTTTTCGAGCGTCCTCGAAATCTATCGGGCGTCCTCGATCGTTTTCGAGCGTCCTCGAAATCTATCAGGCGTCCTCGAAATCTATCGGGCGTCCTCGAAATCTATCGAGCGTCCTCGAAATCAATCGAGCGTCCTCGATTGTTTTCGAGCGTCCTCGAAATCTATCGAGAGTCCTCGATCTTTTTCGAGCGTCCTCGAAATCTATTGGGCGTCCTCGAAATCTATCGAGCGTCCTCAAAATCAATCGAGCGTCCCCAATCGTTTTCGAGCGTCCTCGATCGTTTTCGAGCGTCCTCGATTGTTTTCGAGCGTCCTCGATTGTTTTCGAGCGTCCTCGATTGTTTTCGAGCGTCCTCGAAATCTATCGGGCGTCCTCAAAATCTATCGAGTGTCCTCAAAATCAATCGAGCGTCCCCAATCGTTTTCGAGCGTCCTCGATCGTTTTCGAGCGTCCTCGATTGTTTTCGAGCGTCCTCGAAATCTATCGAGAGTCCTCGATCATTTTCGAGCATCCTCGATTGTTTTCGAGCGTCCTCGAAATCTATCGGGCGTCCTCGAAATCTATCGAGCGTCCTCGAAATCAATCGAGCGTCCTCGATCGTTTTCGAGCGTCCTCGATCGTTTTCGAGCGTCCTCGATTGTTTTCGAGTGTCCTCGAAATCTATCGAGCGTCCTCGATCGTTTTCGAGCATCCTCGATCGTTTTCGAGCGTCCTCGAAATCTATCGAGCGTCCTCGATCGTTTTCGAGCATCCTCGATCGTTTTCGAGCGTCCTCGAAATCTATCGGGCGTCCTCGAAATCTATCGGGCGTCCTCGAAATCTATCGAGCGTCCTCGAAATCAATCGGGCGTCCTCGAAATCTATCGAGCGTCCTCAAAATCAATCGAGCGTCCCCAATCGTTTTCGAGCGTCCTCGATCGTTTTCGAGCGTCCTCGATTGTTTTCGAGCGTCCTCGAAATCTATTGAGAGTCCTCGATCGTTTTCGAGCATCCTCGATTGTTTTCGAGCGTCCTCGAAATCTATCGGGCGTCCTCGAAATCTATCGAGCGTCCTCGAAATCTATCGAGCGTCCTCGATCGTTTTCGAGCGTCCTCGAAATCTATCGAGCGTCCTCGATCGTTTTCGAGCATCCTCGATCGTTTTCGAGCGTCCTCGAAATCTATCGGGCGTCCTCGAAATCTATCGGGCGTCCTCGAAATCTATCGGGCGTCCTCGAAATCTATCGAGCGTCCTCGAAATCAATCGGGCGTCCTCGAAATCTATCGAGCGTCCTCAAAATCAATCGAGCGTCCCCAATCGTTTTCGAGCGTCCTCGATCGTTTTCGAGCGTCCTCGATTGTTTTCGAGCGTCCTCGAAATCTATTGAGAGTCCTCGATCGTTTTCGAGCATCCTCGATTGTTTTCGAGCGTCCTCGAAATCTATCGGGCGTCCTCGAAATCTATCGAGCGTCCTCGAAATCAATCGAGCGTCCTCGATCGTTTTCGAGCGTCCTCGATCATTTTCGAGCGTCCTCGATTGTTTTCGAGTGTCCTCGAAATCTATCGAGCGTCCTCGATCGTTTTCGAGCGTCCTCGATCGTTTTCGAGCGTCCTCGAAATCTATCGGGCGTCCTCGAAATCTATCGAGCGTCCTCGAAATCAATCGAGCGTCCTCGATCGTTTTCGAGCGTCCTCGATTGTTTTCGAGCGTCCTCGAAATCTATCGAGAGTTCTCGAAATCTATCGGGCGTCCTCGATCGTTTTCGAGCGTCCTCGAAATCTATCAGGCGTCCTCGAAATCTATCGGGCGTCCTCGAAATCTATCGAGCGTCCTCGAAATCAATCGAGCGTCCTCGATTGTTTTCGAGCGTCCTCGAAATCAATCGAGCGTCCCCAATCGTTTTCGAGCGTCCTCGATCGTTTTCGAGCGTCCTCGATTGTTTTCGAGCGTCCTCGAAATCTATTGAGAGTCCTCGATCGTTTTCGAGCATCCTCGATTGTTTTCGAGCGTCCGAAATCTATCGGGCGTCCTCGAAATCTATCGAGCGTCCTCGAAATCAATCGAGCGTCCTCGATCGTTTTCGAGCGTCCTCGATCATTTTCGAGCGTCCTCGATTGTTTTCGAGTGTCCTCGAAATCTATCGAGCGTCCTCGATCGTTTTCGAGCATCCTCGATCGTTTTCGAGCGTCCTCGATCGTTTTCGAGCGTCCTCGATCGTTTTCGAGCATCCTCGATCGTTTTCGAGCGTCCTCGAAATCTATCGGGCGTCCTCGAAATCTATCGAGCGTCCTCGAAATCAATCGAGCGTCCTCGATCGTTTTCGAGCGTCCTCGATTGTTTTCGAGCGTCCTCGAAATCTATCGAGAGTTCTCGAAATCTATCGGGCGTCCTAGGTTGTTTTCGAGCGTCCCCGAAATCTATCGGGCGTCCTCGAAATCTATCGGGCGTCCTCGAAATCTATCGGGCGTCCTCGATTGTTTTCGAGCGTCCTCGAAATCTATCGGGCGTCCTCGAAATCAATCGAGCGTCCTCGATTGTTTTCGAGCGTCCTCGAAATCTATCGAGAGTTCTCGAAATCTATCGGGCGTCCTCGATTGTTTTCGAGCGTCCTCTAAATCTATCGGGCGTCCTCGATTGTTTTCGAGCGTCCTCGATCGTTTTCGAGCATCCTCGATTGTTTTCGAGCGTCCTCGAAATCAATCGAGCGTCCTCGATTGTTTTCGAGCGTCCTCGAAATCTATCGGGCGTCCTCGATTGTTTTCGAGCGTCCTCTAAATCTATCGGGCGTCCTCGATTGTTTTCGAGCGTCCTCGATCGTTTTCGAGCATCCTCGATTGTTTTCGAGCGTCCTTGAAATCTATCGAGAGTCCTCGATCGTTTTCGAGCGTCCTCGAAATCTATCGGGCGACCTCGAAATCTATCGAGCGTCCTCGAAATCAATCGAGCGTCTTCGATCGTTTTCGAGCGTCCTCCATTGTTTTCGAGCGTTCTCGAAATCTATCGAGAGTCCTCGAAATCTATCGGGCGTCCTCGAAATCTATCGGGCGTCCTCGATTGTTTTCGAGCGTCCTCGAAATCTATCGGGCGTCCTCGAAATCAATCGAGCGTCCTCGATTGTTTCCAAGCGTCCTCGAAATCAATCGAGCGTCCTCGATTGTTTTCGAATTCGTTGAAATCTATCGAGAGTTCTCGAAATCTATCGGGCGTCCTCGATTGTTTTCGAGCGTCCTCTAAATCTATCGGGCGTCCTCGATTGTTTTCGAGCGTCCTGGATCGTTTTCGAGCGTCCTCCATTGTTTTCGAGCGTTCTCGAAATCTATCGAGAGTCCTCGATCGTTTTCGAGCGTCCTCGATTGTTTTCGAGAGTCCTCGAAATCTATCGCGCGTCCTCGAAATCTATCGAGCGTCCTCGAAATCAATCGAGCGACCTCGATCGTTTTCGAGCGTCCTCGAAATCAAGCGAGCGTCCTCGATCTCAATCTGGAAAATAATTAACTTCCGCGAAGTTTCACACACTCTGCTGAGCTCCTATTGGTCGTAAAGTGATGTTTTATATATTTGTTGATTTATCAATTAACTCCATGAACATTCGCAATAGACCATTCGTGTTGCAAAAAAGGGAAATACAGAAATTTATTGAACTTGCTTTTCTTCAAGACTATTGGAGGTTAGTCCACCGAGAATGTAATATACAAACTGCCCAGTCCCCAAGCGGTCATCGGTGTCCACTCTCCTCCATTATAAACCTTATTATCAATTTTTAGAGACTACTTTTGTATCAACAAATTTTGTGGTGATTTTTCATAATGGTGGATTAAGATAGAACGTTTGTCCGACACTATTAGAAGTAGAAAGCATGGCTAATAAAATTCTCTATATTGAGAAAGCATGTTTCGAATCTGTTGACTGTGACTCGACGAAACTCTGTTAACAGAAACTTTTTTTTTTTTAAACGTTGCCCCACACTAGGATTATCTCCTGTGTCGTGGGTGCGTTTACAAACATACAAGTTCACATACACATGACACCCAGACCCGAAACAACAATTTGTGGATCACACAAAGTGTTGTTCCGTGCGGGAATCGAACCCGCGACACGTTGTACGGCAGCCGGCTACCCAGCCACCGCACCAACCGTGCAGTCAAGAAAGTAACTAGAAAATTGTATTGTGAACCTGATTGAAAAAGAGTAACCTATGGAGTTTTTTGCTCGTTCTTCTACATAGGAATAGGAATCTACAACTTGGAATGAGCAAATGGTTTCACTTTTAATTTTTTGTTGACATTTTAAAGTCCACTTTGGTCTAATTGAAATAAATGATTTTGATCTTGACTTTGAATATTGTTCGTAGAATTCTAGGTCAATAGTAATCACTGTTAATAGAAATTTCTGTTAATAGATACAGAAGTTTTTACGTAAACTTCTGCTATAGAAATTTCCAGAGGTCTTGGTTTAGCGCCTCCAATCAAACAAAACTACATACTTACATGGGCATTAGGAGCAAATGGAGTTTGAGTACCATGAACTTCTAGTAATGTATGAACACATAACATACATAACATCACGCCTTTTATCCTCGAAGGGGTAGGCAGAGGTGCACATTATACCACTGTACAATGTGACACCCACTTTTCACTATTCATGTTATGAGTCCCATGTAATAGGGGGTGAACCTATTGCCATATACCGGGCACAGTTCCAGACTCCGTGCTACTACTGAGAATTTTAAAAAAATCTATGATTCTATGAACACTTACCAGCAATTTCCTGCTTGATGCCACCTAGTTCGCAGTCCCACAGTTTCAACAGATGGTCCCACCCACTGGACAGTACAGTGTTAAAGTCCATCCATTGTACACCTGACACTGCTTCTCGATGGCCTTTCAATGTGGTTAATGGCTCCTAGAAATTTATAAATTCCTAATGATAATCTGGTATTTACAATTTAATTTATACTAGCTTTTACCCGCGGCTTCGCTCGCGTCACAAAAGAATAAATGAAATCGCCAGAGGACCTAGAAATAAGCATTCAAAAATTCAATACAGCTATTCTTACTGCCGCCTGTCTAACTACACCTACACAAAAAAACCCTAAATTAAAACTGAAAAACTACCCCAAACTAATAAGAGACAAAGTCCAAGAACGGCGAAAATTGAGGAAAGAATGGCAACAAACAAGGTATCCCTCAGATAAAACCAAGTTTAATAAAATTACAGAAGAAATAAAGATACTTATCAAAGATCTGGAGAATCACACAGTGCAGAGTAAATTGGCCCACTTAACTCCCCATAAAGACACCAAGTATTCACTTTGGTGCGCAACAAAGAAATTGAAACGACCGGATATCCATGTTCCACCATTAAGGAAACAGGACAGGAACTGGGCTAGATCCGATCTAGAAAAAGCAACAGTATTTGCTGAATATCTCCAGAGTGTCTTCAAACCTTTCCCCAGTAATAACCCAGAGGCTGATAAAGAAATTATAACCTACTTAAAATCTCCTTACCAGCTTTGTGCACCTATTAAACCAGTAAGTCCTAAAGAGATAGATAAGATGATTATGGCTCTGAAATCTGGAAAAGCCCCTGGATATGACCTTATAGACTCCACGCTGATGAAAAACCTGCCGAGAAAAGGAATAATCTACTTAGTAAACATTTTTAATGCCTGCCTGAGGCTCTCATATTATCCAAGCCAGTGGAAGATTGCTCAAGTTGTTATGATCCCTAAACCTGGCAAACCTGTAGAGGAAGTGTCGTCATACCGACCAATTAGTCTTCTCCCTCTTCTCAGTAAGATCTTTGAAAGGATTATCATCAATCGTCTCAATCCACACCTAGATAGAGTACTTCCAGAACATCAATTTGGTTTTCGACATGGCCATGGTACCGTCGAGCAAGTACACAGATTGGCAGATACTATCGGTCATACAATTGAAACCAAGCAATATTGTTCGGCTGCATTCCTGGATATTAGTCAGGCCTTTGACAAGGTCTGGCAAGAGGGTCTACTGTACAAAATCAAGAAGTCTCTGCCACACTCCTTTTTTCCAATACTTGAGAGTTACCTAAGCAAAAGATGTTATGAAGTCAAATTCAACGGTGAGACATCAGAATTGTACGAAATACAATCAGGAGTCCCACAGGGCAGCATACTAGGGCCTGTTTTTGTATCTTCTGTTTACTGCAGATGTACCCACTCACGCACATACCACCATGGCCACCTATGCGGATGACACTGCAATTCTGGCAGTGGATAAGGATCCAGATATCGCTTCGGAAACCCTGCAAAATCACCTTAATGAAGTTGAAACATGGCTGAAACAATGGAGAATAAAGGCTAATCAAACCAAGTCAGTCCATGTCACTTTTACCTTAAGAAAAGGAAACTGCCCTCCTGTTCTACTTAATGGCGAACAAATACCGCAAGACGAAACTGCTAAATATCTTGGCATGCATCTCGACAGAAGATTAACTTGGAGGAAACACATCTGGACCAAAAGAAAACAGCTCGACACAACTCTTCGAAATATGTACTGGTTGATCGGTAAAAACTCAAAACTATCGAATGAAAGTAAAATGGCAGTATACAAGGCTATCCTGAAACCGATCTGGGCATACGGTATTGAGCTCTGGGGAACAGCAAGTACCAGCAATATAGAAATTCTGGAAAGGTTCCAAATGAAGGCAATGAGATGCATGTACAATATACCCAAAAGCATTAGCAACAATACATTTTACAAGACCTAAGGCTAAAAACTGTTAGAGAAGAAATTTCTCAGAGAGGCTCAAACTATCAGAAAAAGCTATCTAAGCATGTCAATGCCCTTGCTTCTAAGTTATCGGGATCTGGAAGTATCCAATTTGCAAGACTGAAGAGGAGCAGTGTACCTAACCTCATAGACCGATTCAACAGCTAGTAGGAAGGGAAATTCATTGGATACTTCTCTTCAATGCAATATGCCACACTCAGACAATGAGTCAGCCAAGAAAGCGGCTAAATGTTTTATAAACAGATTGCTGTGTTGCGGGATATAAAATAGAAAAAAAAAAAAAAAAAAAAACAAAAGAATAAAAAGTAGCTTATGTGACATATACCAATACATACAGCGCCATCTATACAAATACTTTTGTTTTCCCACGGGAATATCAAATTTTTTCGGGATAAAAGTACCCTATTATTTAATCCAGACTAATAATTTTACGTCTGCAAAAATTCAATGCAATCAGTTTAGTAGTTACGGCGTGAAGTCGGAACAAACAAACAAACTCACTTTCCGATTTATAATATTAGTAAGGATGTTTTCGACTAAAGTTGACTTTACTGTATGGTTGGTGCGGTGGCTGGTGCTGTGTAACGGGTTCCATTCGCGTACGGAGCTACTCTTTGTGTGATCCACAAATTGTCATTCCGGTCTGAGTGTAATGTGTATGTGAAATTTTACATTTGTTAGCACCCATGATATAGGGGAAAATAATCCTAGTCCTTAACTAAAAAATGAAGAAAATATAGACCATTTTGAAAAAATACAAGCACTTACCCTAGCTTTTCCATGGTCTGGTTTACTTTTTTTCTTTGCAGGTGCACTGTCTTCCTCTGTTAGACCTAGAAAAATAATTAAAATCATATTATCTTCTGTAATATGAGTGTGGCTAAGATGAATTGATGACATTTAGACTAATTACTCTTCGGAATAATTAAAATAAATCAAAAGAGCTTTTAATTGAACTCATCAATTAGTAACATAACATAGCATTACGCCTTTTATCCCCGGAGGAGTAAGCAGAGCTGCACATTACGGCACTTAATGCCACTGGACAATGTAACATCCGCTAGTTCATTATTTATGTTATGAGTCCCATGTAATAGGGGGTGAGTCTATTGCCATATACCAGGCACAATTGCAGACGCCATGCTACTAATGAGATTTTTTTTTAAAACCCAGTATTACTTTTATCTTATAACATCGAACCCTCTTGCCCAGCAGTCGTGCTTGCGACCACTCGGCCAGTGAGGCACTCATCAATTAGTCTTATGTAAAAACACTTACTGGTACTCCATAAGCTGACATTGTTATCCCAACTGCCAGTCGCAAAGCGGGTAGCATCAGCAGACACTGCAAGACACTCAATACCCTTCTCATGACCACGGCAGGTCACCACACAGTCCACAGAGTTACGAGGAACATTCCACACCCATAACATCGCTGACTGGTCATGAGAACCACTGAAATTAGATTAACAAAATGTTATGATGACATAATGTAGCATTTGGTTGTAGCATAAGTATTTGACCCATTAACATAGATTACATTATGGTCAACAAGCCTCATCTAAATTGTGTAAGGTAGAAGATATGATCAAAATGGATTGACTAGGAATACACAAAACTAAGACTTATTGTACAAAAAGAGGGAGGTTCTTAACCAGTAGTGGATGAATTTTAGCTAAAAGAATGAATGATGTTGATGTTTAAGAATTCAATAACCAATATTAATAAGAAACAATGGATCATAATAGCATTATCTTCTCCTATTAATAAAAACCATTCAATTACCTGACAAACACTGCTTGGTCACCTTCAAAAGATACCCAAGAAACTGCTTTGACGGGAGATGTGTGGCCCGGAATGGCCAGTTTATGTTGACCCTTAGTGCTCCAAATATGTATACTGTTGTCGTAGCAACCAGATAAAATCCTGTAAACATAATTAGAACAATATTTTATTAGTAAGCACCATAGGGGTCATGAAACTAACTTTTAGATGACATGAAATTGTGCAACAATTTTTTGTATAGTAAATTATGCTCAAAAAGCATCTCAATCCATTGACATAAACTTGACTCCAATTGATTTGCTGAACAGTAATGATGTACTTACCAGTTAGTATGTGCATGTACTGTAGACACCCAGTCATCATGCATCAAACAGTCCTGAGGTGATGGCGCCGGGAATCTTTCAAGATATTCTATTTCCAATGTATCTTCTGTCGATGCACCTTTCTCCTGCAGGTGTTCTGAGAGTGACGAACACAACAGTTCCCCACATACTAGAAAGTCAAACTCTACCGCCTTTTCTATTGAAGCATTGGTCTCTTTCAACAAAGCATTAACCAAAGTATTCAAATCTGCTACTTGGACGTTGCTTTGTATAGCGTATGGACTGTCTGGTACAGCATATCTACGACAAAAACCATATTAAACATGTGCCTCATGCGAATACACCTTCATCGCCACGCCGCATAAAGTATTGATACTTACTGTTCTTGTTTGGTTATAAACCGCACTTGAAGCTGAACTTCAGCTACTTCGGTAGACATTATGCTCTATTTACATACAAACGATAATTTAGAAAGATTGCACACTAAATATTAAAATAACTGAACGGTTTCACGATAACTTTAAAACTCCGTCTGACTGACTGAAAAATAGACAAATATTGACACATGCTCTCAGAATTTGACAATAATTGATGACTTTAATGTGAACGTTTTAAAATTACAGGCATAGAGTTATTGGAACAAGAAGTTCTTATTTAAGAAAATTTTATTTGTTACTGATAATATGGAAAATACATTATTTTCAGAAATGATCAATATATTTCGAATTAATGCTTCCAAATTCTTCTTATTATTATCATGTCTTGTGTTAAAAATATTAATGATTTCCGGACGAAATACTGTGCGTTCCAAATCAGAACCTTGCACATGTCAACTCCATAATGAAAAGCATAAAGTAAAGTCTGACCTCTCTTTCTTACTTGCTTTCTTTCATCTGTTCTTTATTCCACTCTAATGTTTTGTTATGTATTATAAATGTATCATGGATGGAACACAAATGCCAAAAGAAAGATTGAGGTTATCTCATGTTGTTAGAGAGTAAAATCCGTGTGTTTATTTAAATGTTTTGAATTAATTGATCATATTATTGACTAAAACTTCTTAAAAATGGGTGTATTGGTTAATGGTGATGGTGGTAAAAGTGTGAAATACAATTTTTATAGAAAAGCTGGCAGAAGTATTATCGAACGTCGTCCCGTTTTCTCACCGGATGGAGAGTAAGTTAAATTTTGTTTTTGAACTTCTTTTTATCCATAAAATGTATGTAATATCAACATGTTCGTGATGGTTTACAGGTCAATAGCAATAATTGTTGAGAATATAGTACGAGTGTACAATATTCAGACTGGAGAATGTGTTCGTATACTAGAAACTGAAAGTCCTGTAAATGAGCTGATAGCGATACAATTCCCTGAAAATGAGGACTACAATTTGTATGGATGTTCCGATACTGGCTATGTTACCATATGGACCTGGGCAAATGGGGCTGTTCTTAGGGAAATTGTAAGTATTTAGCTGAACAGTATTTTTAAATTACTGTTACAACTTCCAACCTCTATCTTCTATCAAAGATATACTTCATTGTTGTTAAGATATTATGTATAGGTATTGGTAATTATAAATGTAGGATATTTAATATCAACATTTCAATAAAGTAAATTAGACTCGGCGGGATCAGAGAAACTGATCAAAGTCAGTTTTGCCGATCCCGCTGAGTTGATTGCTTTAACTGTACAGTTAAAGTGCATAGTTAAAACAGAAGGTGTATATGCACAAGTAATATTTCTCAATTTTTTAATTTGTCAATCTAGCTGTAGCAACATAAGATCTGAAATACTTTTAGTGTACAGGAGAAAAATAGTGTAATTTATGTCATCTGTTCTTTATCATCCCTTCCTGGAATAAATGATAACTAATAATGACTTTAAAATTACATAACAAATCTTTAAACCTGCTATTACTACAACATTCTATGTAATTTCCAGAAACTCAATCTCCCAACAAATACAAAAGTCCTCACATTTGACTTAATCGACAGTACAGAGTGTTGTATTGTAACGAGTCAACCAAACAACAAGTGCCTAAACCTCAACACGTACTCCACAAAGACTGGACAACTACTCTATGACTATCAGGATACAAAACCGATGTACGGAGACATGATATGCGTGGCATTAGGTTGGTGCAACGGAGATAGATATGCAGCAGTGAGCAACGGAACAAAAGTCCTATGCATACAAAATTTACAGCAACCACATTTAAAAACAAGGTAACTACTTTCTTTGAATTATAATTCTATGGAACTTTTGCTTATTATTTATTTTTTTGTTTTTTCATAATGAAGATGTACCAAACCAATTTATGAGAAAGTTTGTCTGATTGAAATCATGCCAAAATACCAAGATGTGAATGAAAAATCATTTACATTGTATCAACACCATTATTAACCCATGGTATGCCGGGAGCGTAGATATACACGAGACACAATGTGTTTTCTATTGTGTCTCATATGATAAGAGGTTAATCAAAAATTATTTTCATTTACAGAATAATCAATCATAATGGTTACCGAATAATGTCAGTGGCAGCGCATCAGAAAACAAATGCCGTAGCAATCACAGATACTTTAGGACGAGCTACGGTCATAAGAGGGAATTTATATGATTACAAGCAAGTAGCAAGGGAAGTGCTACATTGGCATTTCTTACCACCTCTAGCTACTTGTTTCTCCTTACAAGGTATCATATTAAACATAGTTTGAAAATAAGTTCCTACATATACAAAATAAGTATGCTTTTCAATTCAGTGTAAAAATCAAAGTCAAAATCATTTATTTCGATTAACTTATCATGAACATATATTCCAGGCAACTATCTCTACACTGGTGGAATGGAAAAGGTGCTGGTAAAATGGACAATTGGTGACTTAGCGTTCAGAGCCAATGAAAGGAACTTCATCCCTCGTCTACCGGGCATGATTCGGTTTATTACAACTAACAACACACATGTCGCCTTGACTTTAACTAATAATTGTAAGTATAGTAATATAATATTCTACGATAAGATAGCTTAATGTTCTCCTCGTCCTTGGGGCTACCGTATTTTTAGCCTCCAGATGGCGCAAATGTAGAAAAAAGAATTTATCCAATCATAGCAGTTGTCAAATATTGAACATCTAACGGCGTGACACTAGCTAGTTCCCTATTGGACGAAGAATGATAGGTTCACACTACCGCCATCTGGTGAGGAATAATATGGTAGGCCTCATTATTATTACGGAGCATAATCTCTTACTTAACCCATAGATCCCCAAGCGGTCACCGGTGACCGCTCTCCACTAAAATTACATTACATTATAGACCTTATTTCCAATGTTTAGAGACTACTTTTGTATGACCAAATTTAGGGGATGGATTTCAAGGGGTATACTCATAACAAATTAAATATAATGTTATCCGTTAAAAGTGTGAGTAATACAATATAGACTGTTTAATAAGGCAATACTATAATTTTAAAAAAAGGATACAAAACTATCTAGAGCGTTGATATAAAAATAACTACACTAATCTGTCAAACTTTTAGATTTGCAACTTTTAACCATATCACTTTATAATAAAGTCGAACATCTTTTGGAGATCGCACCAATTTTGTCTAATGTAGTCTTGTTTTAAATTTCCCTAGCGGTAGTGCTAGCGAGCGCCCAGCTGCGCGTGCTGGGCACGTTGCTGGAGTGCGGCGGCGCGGCCCCGGCGGCGCGCGCGGGCGCCGCGCTGCTGCACGTGCCGCCGCTGGACGCGCTGCTCACCGCCGCGCGCACCGGACATCTGCAGCTGTACTCCACTAACACTGATAAAGTGCTTTATAATGTAAGTCATTACACCATCAACCAATTTGTCACTCAGAAGTGATGACAAATTGGTAGTAATAGACCTAAACCTTTCCGATAATACGCCGCTGCTAGGCTACTTAACCATACAGGTTTCACAACCGCACATTTTTTCTGATTACGCGGCAACTTACTTTAGACTAACGACGCGCGTACAATTTCGCGTAAAAAACAACGTGAATTAAGAATTAAAATATAGTCAACTTATAACTTTGTCAACGACTGAAAGAAATAATCGCCTTTTATTCATATTGTAACTGCATTACACTACTTGGTGCAACTGGGCGAAACGTGTTTTTCTACACTATATCAACTTCACTACAAATCAATGTCTACAACTCGTACAAGGCTATTCAAAGATGTGGTAAGACTGATGGCTACACTATCGTATTGGAATGTATCAGTAATGGTAGTAGTTAGTGCATTAAATAAATAAATAAAATAAATAAACTTTCAATTCGAAGATCGAAGTGAATTCGATCGCGGTTCGCTATGTCATTGATTGTAAGAATAATCTCGACCAATGACGGACGAGAATGCGATCGAACTCACTTCGAAAGTCCTAATTGTCAGTTAGAGATCAGCACTTTACATTTAACCGTTGGGTGACAATTTTGGAGACATAAGTTATGTACCTACTTGAAGTTAATCCAGTTTAAATAGTTTTGACTAAAGCACTTAAATGTACCCCCTGTGACTAAAATAGATGATTCTAAAAAAAATATTTACTCTTTACAGTTAGACATAACAGGATTGAATAACCTACCATCAGAAAGGTGGAATCTATTGCCATTGGAAACTGAAGTGACTTGTGCAGCTGTCAGTGGGAACGGGGATTGGCTGGTTACCTCCGAGTATAGAAACGATGGCGTAACTTACCCAGAAGAGAAACTAAAGTTCTGGGCAGCACAGTACAAGAACGCCACACCTTTCCAACTCAACACTTGCGTCAACCTATCCCACGGAGGTTGCAATATAGTCTCTCTGTCACTTAACTATAAAGGCGATTTCTGCGTATCAGCTGGTTCTGACCAAAAATTCAGGATATGGAAGAAAGAGAACACATCATCGTCAAATAAGAGCAAAAAGTTCGCATGGAGTTGTTTGACTGCATGCTATTACTCGTCCGGGATTGGTCAGTTCATATCGAATGACGTTCTCAACGGTTTCAAAGATGGCTTCAAGCACAAGCCTGGGAGGGATGAGGACTTGCCGTACTTAAGAGAAGTTGATAACAAAAATGATGTGATTAAAAAGTTGTTTAATATCCATAAAGAACATTCGTTGGTTATTGATGAAGCTAAAGTGTCGACGAAGAGAGATAGTGAGTTTGATATGGGCGGTGTGGCTATATCTCAGGATGGTTCGCTAATCGCCGCTTGGTTTGGGTGCAAGTTGACCTTATGGGACACACACCTGTGTAACCTCAGTACTACGCTATCTCATCCGGCGCTGAGGCCTAAAGGAGTACACGTTCAATTTGGAAACAGGGATGCTGCGCATTATGTGAGTATTAATTAAATACTAATATTATATTGTCTATCGTGGTGGCCTGTAAGACGTCTGCTTCTCATGCATGAAGGTTCGAAACCTAA